ACTGACGGACCTGTTCCTCCTGTCGGCGAGCCTGTTCCTCTTGTCGGTGAGCCTGCTCCTGCAGCATCACCATCAGAGCACCTAAGTCAGATGCTGCAGATGTAGGAGTTACTGACGGGCCTGCAGCCGGCGGCTGGCCCTCCGACGTCTGCGGCGTTGCACTACCAAATCTTCTTTGGTCCGTCTCCTGCTGGCGTTGACTTCGGGTACGGTCCGTTTCCTCCTTAGGTAAAATCGGCATGATTTTATCCCACTTCTGACACCAATTGTTACGAGCTCGTGACAATAAAAATTGCCGATAGAATTACCTAAATTAACACTTTAATTCACTTTACACTAATTAAAGTTAAAAACACTAATAATTAATCACACTGATTCACTTTATTCCGCTCCGAAGCTTCGCTTGTCTCGCCAACTTCAATACTTCCCCGATCGCATCTTGCAGCGCCTATAAATATAAATTAGCAGTGAAATATCCAGAATATTCAAGTAAACACGCGCAAGGTACCGAGAGTTCGAGTTTCAACTTCAAGAAGTTTAGTTCTTCGGTTCGAGACTAGATGGCGCTAGTGCCGTCGACTTAAGCGCGTAACAATATGTTATTTAATAATATGATAATTTTCAACCACAATGAGATAAAGTTAAAGCAAAAATGTACAATCCTTTTTTAATGTGAAGCCTAAATTTTAATGTAGGTACTAAATCAAAAGAATACACATATGGATGTTTTTGAAGAATATTTATATAAAATTTTAATAGCGCCATCTACTACATTCTGTAGATGAAGTCATTTTATCGAACGAAAATTGATTCACACTCAAGATAGTACGCAAAGATTACTTACTAGATGGCACAAACCCAGCTATGACTAGATAATTTTTTTCAATAAGATTAATTTTATTTATTTAATAAATTTGTTAATTTTTTTGTAACTGTTTATTTTAACAGTAAAAGATATATTAACCATCTTTAGAGGGCTATTAGGTACCTAGTAGTTCGCTAGTTCGCGTCTCATCTCTCTAATCTCACGCACCGCACGCAAGCACAGACTGACTGTGCTTTTATACCAAAAATAATAAGGCCGGAGGGCTTCATTGTTGTATTTATGAATTATTTCATTAGAAATAAAAATGACTTATCTCCTCAACACATAGGGAACAATTTGTTGGCCGCCATGTCCCAGGAAACCTGCATCCCTTTGGATTTTCTAAAAAAATATACATGCTACGAATTTTTGCAATAATAGTTATAATAGTTATATAGTAATAATAGTTAGAAATACTAATGAAAATTATAAAAGTAAACGAATAATTCAAAAATATATAAGAGTAAATTAATTTTTAAAGGATAGTAGGCAATACTGATTATCCCTTAAATTGATTACATCCGTTTTAAAGGACGCACTTAGAGACTGTTTTAATACACATAAGTTATGTGACAATACGTTAAGACCTTGAATTAGTTATCACCTTCGCGCTCGAGCATGTTGCGATGATGCAGTAATAAATGGGCGCGTAAAATAATTATTTAGAAAAGAGCAACGGTCAAAATTGTTTACGCTACTAACAAATTTGATGATATTGCAGAGTACTTTGGTTGTTTTGTATATGACCTTGTTTTTTTAGTTAGAATATAAATAAAGGTATTCTACTGTAATAATTTTTTTAAACGTTACACTAATTACATTGTCAAAAACTTGGTTTATTTATATGTCCCATAAAACGGACCTTGCTAACTTAAGCTATTGACTAGGGTATTATTCTTCGTGCATCACATGTAACGGACATTGCCAAATGGGCCTACATGTAAGTGTTTCATTTAATTGTCCTATGAAACGGACGTCGCCAATAAATTCAAACATATTTTTTGACTTTTTTTATTTAATTTTACAAAAACATGACTCTGAGATCAAAGAAAAGCAAATAGCTGATAACTCCGTCAGATTGTGAAGAGTCAGATATGAAATCTGTTATCGATTTATAAGTCATCCTCCAGCGGCGTGAGTTTTTTGGCTGTGATATAAGTGATTCATCTTCGCCTCGTACATTTCTACAATATAATATGACTTATTAGCTGATCTCAGCAGCAGCGAAGACAAAAATGAACAGGAATATACTGATTTCGAACATTATATCACTGAAAAACAAAGACTAGAGACGGCGCGAGATAAATTGTCCACACCCCACTAAGTTTTAAGCCCCAGTATCATGTTATATAAATGAAACACCATCACCAATATTTGGAGTAACACCATCCTCAAGTTTTTCCAGACCTACACTGATGTCAAACACGTCAAACCTGATAAACCACACCTATAGACACGTCACTTACGCTTCTGCCAGCGGTAACGAAAACTTTAGTTAAAAAGCGTATAATGAAGAAATTAGATTTTGTATTTCAAAACAAGAAATATACCGAATCTGCTAATACATCAGTCTACACAAGCTTATCCTTCCTTATCCATCCTTATTCCTAAGCAATTTTTTTTAAATTCTTCAGCGATGAGTTATTAGATATACTAGTTGAAATGACAAATTTATATATAAGTAGCAGTAAGTCCATAAGTGTGACGCAAAAAGAAATAGAAATATTATTGGAACAGAAATCATGATGGGTATTGTAGACTTGCTGGTATTCGAAGATTACTGTAGTGCTAATCTGAAGTATGAGCAAAATTGTAAGCTGATGACTGATGAAAAAGAGAAGAGGAAGTTTTGAGGTAGTGTGTGATAATTCCAAGAGTACCCGTGATAAAGTGAATGGACAGTCGATGTATTTACATAGCAAGTTCGTTTTGTGCCCAAGAACTAGTCAGTATTATGAAACGGTACGTCGAAAAAAAAAAGAGAAAACTTCTTTTCTAACCAGAAATTGATTGTATTAGTATTTTTTAATAATATTGAAAAAAATGTTGTATGTTAATTGTTTTACTGATTTTTTTAAAGCTTTACTATTATTCTGAGATTTAAGAGCCTGATTTTGGGTGGTTTCTAATTATAAATTGATGTTAATTGTTATTCATATTTGTAAACAAATTGTTGGCAGTGTCGGTTCTATGTAACCAGTGGCAAAGTTAGAGCTCCAAGCTAGGGCAAGCCCAAGATATAAATTGATAAAAATGTAGATTGTTGTTTTTAGCAGTTTTATAAAAATACACCAATCTTGATCTGTCTCCACGCTCCAATTTCATATTCAGTGCTGTCAAGGACGTGTTTAACAAAGCATACAGAAGGCATACCACTGCTAGATAGATTGTATTACATATCAGCAATTGCATAGCTTCGGTGGCTTTGAAGAAAGCCGTTTGGGTTTGTTTAAGCGAATAAATACAATACATGAACAAAATTAAAACACGAACAAAGTACAAACAAACTATGTACAAAATTAAAAAAAGTTATTTACATTCTAATGGATAAAAGATAAGATAAGATAAGTGGAATCGTCTCGCTTTCTTATGGAAAGATTTAATTACGTTCACGTAAAATGTTGGTGAACGTTTTAATTGTACCAATAACTGTTTGTAATTGCGATAATTGATAAATCTGAAATACACTCTTAACCTTGTGTATTATCTCAACAAAGTTTAAAGATTTCCTCTACGATTATCACTTTAACACACTTCAATTCATCACAAGGAACACTATTATCCTCCATTTTCATTAAAAATCTTTAAAAAAGCATACATTTTGAACTCGTAATATTAAATCGCTTAAGATAAGCACACAGAGTAAATAAACATTGAAACGTGAAATGAACTTGCAAACGTATTGCCCGCGCGCCTCCGCTTTTAATAAATTTATTCCCAAAATGGCTGGCTTTAAATCTCTATACTAATTGCTATATATACAATCGTAGTTATATTTCATTATAGAATATTTTGCCATAGGTTAGAAAGAGAGCGATCGTCTTCTCGAAAGCCCCGTAAAAAGCCCACGCGAGCGAGGGAGACAACTACTACTAGCTCTATTAAAACTCATTTTTTATGACAGCAGCAGTATCGCTAAGCAATACGAGGTCATCGGTCGACATGTGTCGAACAGTGGAGTGCGCAAGATATATAAATCATATAATTTGAAATAGCTTGAAACATTTTACGAGTTATTTTATTAGTAAGTTGATATTATTGATTGATTCAGGTTTAATAAGGAAAGCCAGGCTTTTCGGCTTTAATGGAAACTTCGCCACTGTATGTGACATATCTTTGTTTACCATACTTGCACATATAATGGGCAATGTCCATTATATAGGACATTAAAAATAACAATTAAAATTAATGATACTTGAATAATTTAATTACACATTTCTTTTCTATCCCAAATCCAACCCAAAACCGAGATTTGAACGTATATTTAACCCAAAGCATCTAGGGGTGACAATTTAAGGGTTATTGCGTACTGAAATACTAAGTGTTGGTTAATTATTTAAGATTACCATTAACTGTCGTGCATATTTGATTATGTCGGAAGTTTTAATATTCCTCATTTGTAAAGATATTTAATAAAAGTTGGTTTAAAATTGAACGTATCTTTCACTACCCAAATACATAAGTTTACATAATATATAACATATACCTACCACGTATCTTTCCCTTCCTCAGCACTACAATGTGTCTCGCCTCGATGTTAGAGGTCTTCTTTGGTACAAGCAAAGAATATATACACTACGCGAAGCTGTACCGAACAGAAAGTTAGAGAAGAAGTTATAAATATGTTATACCATCGTAAAGTACTGTTAGCGTTGTTACGTTTTGTCGTTTGTCCGCCATTGTAAAGTAAATGTTTACCTTTATCCTGTGTTAGATAAATAATAAAGCTTTTTATAGTTCCAAGAATATTTGGTTTTGATTCCCTTACCCAATACATATATACCATTCGATGTCATTGTGATATAATTCATAAAAGTTAAAGGATTTCGTTACAGAAATAATATACGAAAAATAAATTAAAATACTGTAATTATAATTTTATAATAAAACATAAAATTAAGAATGTTATGTAGCTTCAGTCCAAACTCATGTCGCTGATAGGTACGGCGTCGAACAGCTTCCTAATCTCATCTGAGATCTTGGAGACGATGTCGCTGACAATGGGCGGGGACATTTCTTTGAAGATTTCGCGCCAGTTGTTGTTTGCGTACTCGTGGATGTTATCAGCTAGAATATGGAAAAAGATTGGACTTGTAACGCAAATAAAATGAATGATTGAAAATTGCTACTGAGGGGACGTTAAGGGTTGACTGTAAATTCCACGGCTCGCGAATAACTTGGGTTCGAACCCCGCCTGTACTCATGAAATAATTGCAATTTTAAGTGCTAATTTATGTGTAATGAGCGGAGAATAAAAACTTCCTAATGTAACCGGTCTGTCTTCTTTATATACTGCATAATTTTTTTATCGTCTGGAAAAATAGTGTGTAACAGGTGAACGGAATAGAAGCCTATGGTACTGATATTTTACATTTTATTTTATTTTACATTGACATAATATTATTGATCTAGTCATAAATACTACTAATGGTGTGCGTATTATTTTAATTTCAAAATAGTTATTAAATTGATTTATTTATTTAGTTCAAAAATTTTGTTGTTATTTTTTAGTACCGAAAGTTTATTTCACGTTAGTAGTATTTATTGATAGATCAATTTTAAAATATGTTAACGTAAAATAAAAATGTTAAATGTCAGTGCCATAGCTTCTATTCCGTTCACCTGTTATATCGTATTTTTTCCAGACGGTAAAAAAACACCCAGTATAGAATAACAGTGACAAACACCTGATGGTAAGTGGATGCTGTGGCCCATATTATACCCAATTAAGAATTAAAATGTAGATGCATTGTTATCACTGAGCACTAAGACGGATTTCCTTAGTCTGTAAATATACTGGCTCTTTATACCCTTCAGACTGGTACACAGCAGTGCATAAGTACACCGCTGCTTGGCGGCAAAATAAGGTTAGAGGTTGGTACATACCATGACCGACCCCTAGACAGAAAAGGTTAGAGCTTGGTACATACCCTGACTGACCCCACGGCAGAAAAGTTTAGAGCTTGGTACATACCCTGACTGACCCCACGGCAGAAAAGTTTAGAGGTTGGTACTTACCCTGACCGAGCCCACGGCAGATAAGTTTAAAAGTTGGTACTTACCCTGAGCGACCCCTCGGCAGGAAAGAAGTGCTACCACTTAGAGATTTTTTTTATAAAAGAGGACTCAACTAGCAAATTCGTTCCTTAAGGAATCTATTTTATCACTAAAAAGTTATATTAAATATAGCTACATAGGTAAACGTTATAATTATAGAGTTGTAACAAAGCGTTATTAAAGTATCCGCTACAACGGTGTGTTGTATAATAGCGACTTATAAAGTATTTCATCTGTATAATCTTAAACGGTGCCGGCATTTTCAGAAAGGGGTAGCGGGACCTTCCTACCTTAAGTTTGAAGGTCCCTAAGAAATATCAGTCCAAAAAACTGCTGGAAACAGTGAATTCCATAATGTGGTCATGCGTAACAGAAACTTAGTTATTTTATTTACTAACAAAGGAGTCTGTTCCCGCCGAACAGATTCTGGAATTGGAATTGGACCCTCGTGCGTACATCTGCAGCGTGGCGGTAGCTGTCCAGCAACCAATAGCGCTGCCCGTTCGCCTCCCGCTCGGTGAACTTCAAGTCTATCTTCACCACGATGTCACCTGCAATAAAGAGCGAGTTACATTTAACACTTTGACAGCCAAGAATTTTGTAACGCGTATTCCCCTCTACGTCGGCCATTTACGGCATTTTTGTAAGTTTTTTTATAAAAAGAACTAAATAAGGTAATACATTTAATTCTTTTTGTATATGATAAAATTAATAACTACTAAAATTAATAATAATATAATACTAATTTATTTGTACAATAATAAATAAAACAAAGTATATTAACTTTATTTTGTTTAGAAAATCAAAACATTAATTTTTTCCTCTCCCCATCTGGACGCAAAAGCTATCAGACGTGTACACATATTTCTTTAAATTAAAAATTAAAATTAATTTAGTGCTCAAATTTATAAAAATACACGACATAAAAATAGGGGTGCATAGACAGAAGAAAATCAGTGAAAAAAAAAAAAGTGTAATATCCGTTACTTTCCTGATCGCCTGGTACTTCTATTGCCGAGCGTCGTTATAGAAAAATATACGAGGAGTGCAGGACGTACTTACGGACTCCCCACGTAGGTGTGCGTTGCTGCCCTGGTATTACCACAACACTGTTTTTACGTGAACAAATCAGCGCACGCGCAGTATCCAACTACGCCTAATTAGCAAGCGTGCCATTTTGCTTGCTCGGACGTCTCGTTTGCGCGACACCTGTTGTCACCTGTTGCGTTACGCTGCGTGTACGCTACCGCATTACAACACTGATTGCCTAGTACTTATGGACTCATCAATAGACAAATCATTCACCGATGCGGAGTCGCCGCCATCGACCTACGTATCACAACGCAAAAAAAACACTAAAGATGACACGCAGGATCTAATTATTACGCAGTTAAATGAATTTAGGAAAGAAATGAAGGAAATGATAACTTCCTTCTCCTTTAAACACGAAAAGGATTTGGAACTAGTTACAACAAGTTTAAAAGATATACAGCGATCCAATGTCAACATTGAAAATTCGATATCATATTTAACGGCACAAAACGAAGAATTTAAAACAAGGATTAATCAACTTGAGAGCAAAGTAAGTGAAGATAAAAAATATATAACAATTTTAGAAAATAAAATTGAGGATTTACAAATGGGTTGCCGCAAGAATAATCTTCAAATAAAAAAATGTGCCAAAGAAAAGTAATGAAAGTAAAGAAGACCTTATTGAGATGGTATTATGCTTATCCCAAAACTTAGACTGCCCAATAACTAAGACTGACATCTTAGACATTTACAGGGTTCGTGGTAAGAAATCTGAGGAGAAAAATACTCCGATTGTGGTGGAAACCAGCTCCGTACTAATAAAAACTGAGATTCTCAAAAAAGGTAAAGCCTTTAACAAAAAACATAGATCTAAAATATGTAGTCAACACTTAGGTATTAAAACGGAAGCCGACATCCCCGTCTTTTTATCGGAGCACCTGACTGTAAAAGGGTCTAGACTGCACTTTCTGGCAAGGGACCTGGCAAAAACCCACTCTTATAAGTTCTGCTGGACTGCATACGGGAAAGTCTATATAAGAAAAGATGAAAACTCTCCTATTGTTATAATTAAAAGTGAAGAGCAGATTCGAAAGCTGCAATTCGAAAAATGACTATCCGGTGTAGTAGTACTATTTTTTTATATATTACATAAGAATAATTTTTCGCTATTTCTCTACTGGATATTTTCCTTAGATGTTTATTTCTCAATAATATTATCTTTTAAGCTTTTTAGTTACTATAAAACTACATTGTTTTACCTTATGCTTCAAATTTCAAATTGCTTTGCTAAAAATGTTAAATTAATTTATTATTCATGTATTACACGTGCTATCACATACACTCATACTTCTGTTTACACATCACACTCAATCCTAATACTAATCTTCAAGATATATAGATATACGAGTAAGTTAACATATCAGTTTAAAATAAATTTTAACTTTGTATACTCCAGAATGAGATTTACAGCACCTTATAACTACCAACACCCTACATATTACTATATTTACACGACTATTACATACACACTACGTATTAATTCACACTCAATACACAATCACACAAGTGCCATACATAAGAGCATCATACAGTACTATTTACATTATGTTACATTACAGTATATAATAAATAATATATTAAATTTATGGTTAATAATAAGAAATACTCAATATCATTTTGGTACTGTAACTATGATAAATTACTATGATGAGTATATAAGAGCCTGTAGCTCTCATATTAAATTGAAAATGACGTCAATACCTGCCTACACACAAAATGGATAATAAGACCTTACAAACTTTACAAGAAATAGATAGTATAGACATAGCGCGGTCTATCGAGTGTAGTAGTACTTCTGACTTAACAAAACATATTTATATTAACAAAAACGATCTTACCATTATTTCCCAGAATATTAGAAGTATTTACCATAACTTTGATGATTTTTTAATTACATATTCTAGCCTAACATTTGACACAGATATAATAATTTTAACTGAATGTCGATTAAATGTAAATAAACCTATTCCCCAACTTAATAACTATTGCTCTTATGCTACAAAATATCAGGTGAATCAAAATGATGGAGTAGTGGTTTATGTCAAAAATACGTTACAACCTAAAGTTAAGGAAATACAAATATCACAGGCTTCTTGTCTACAGCTAGATCTACTCAATAATACCATATTATGTATATATCGTTTTCCATCTAACACTAACACTGATATTTTTATTGATTCACTTGATACCCACTTAAGTACATTAAATACCCAGAATAACGTTATAATTGCAGGAGATATTAATATTAATATAAAAACAAAATCTGTAGAACTTCCTAATGAGTTTAAAAATAGGGCAAACTACCTAAATATGCTTTCAACACATGGTATACTTCCTGGACATTGTTTACCCACCAGAGAAAAAAATTGTTTGGATCATTTTATGTTAAAAATTAATAGAAAAGAAAGTATCAGCTTTTATAGCAATTATACAAACATCTATCACAGATCATTTTACTACATTTTTATCATTATCTAAGTTAAAGAGCAATATAAGAATAAATAAAACAAAGAATTCTATAGATTTTGAAAAAGCTCTTAAGCATCTACGTGACCAAAATTTGCAAGAATTACTGTTTTGTGAGGATCCAAATTTATTAATAAGTCAACTTATACAACGAATAACTGATTCATTGAAAACGTGTACTGAAATTAGAGTTATTCCTAGCAACAAACGGGTCATAAAACCTTGGATAACAACTGGTATTTTACGTTGCATTAAAAATCGAAATAATTTACAAAAACAAGCAAGAAAAGACCCACACGATGAAATACTTAAGATAACGTATAAAAGGTATAGGAATTACTGTAATAATCTTTTAAAACATCTAAAGCGTAAATATGAACGAGAATTACTTGCAAAATCGGTTTCAAATAATAAATTACTTTGGAAGAATATTAAAAACATAACATACTGCAATAAATCTAAGGATCAAAATACAGAGTTATTAAATATAAAATCATCACCATTGCAATCAATCAACTATATTAATGAATACTTTGTCAATATTGGTAAAAAATTAGCACAACAACTAAATTCAAGCGGCCATAACATACAACATCATAACTTGCCTACACAGTCTAATTCCTTTGTACTATTAAATACGGACACAGGTGAGGTGGAGAGCATATTAATGAATTTAAAGACTGATAGCGCCCCTGGTTGGGACGGGATCTCCACTAGATTTTTAAAGTATGCCAAGAACGAACTGATACCAATTTTCACCCACCTCACTAACCTATGTTTTGAAAAAGTCGTTTTCCCGGAGAAACTAAAAAAATCTTCTATTGTACCAATATTTAAGGGAGGGGACAGAGGCAACATCAGTAATTATAGGCCCATATCAATATTACCAGCTATATCAAAAATACTTGAAAAAATTAATTAATATTCGACTTCTTAATTATTTAAATTCTTTTAATATATTATCTCCTTATCAGTTTGGTTTTAGGCATGGCAAATCTAGTGAGGATGCAGTTGCTCGTATGACATCATTGGTGGTTGATGACTTAGATAAAGGTCAAAAATGCTTAACTGTGTACTTAGATCTCATGAAAGCGTTTGACACGGTTTCTGTCCCCCTACTCTTATATAAACTGGAAAAAGTCGGAGTAAGAGGTACTGCCCTTAAACTTTTTAGAGACTACCTCTCCAATAGAAATCAATGTGTAAAAGTTGACCAGTTTATTAGTGACGACGCAACTATATCATATGGTGTGCCACAAGGCAGTATATTGGGGCCTTCCTTGTTTCTGCTTTACATAAACGATTTGTGCAACTTAAAAATAGAAAACGCACAAATAATTTCGTATGCTGATGATACAGCAGTTATCTTTAAAGGTAAATCGTGGCAAGAAGTTAAGGAAAGGGCAGAATTTGGGATGGCCAAGGTGGCAAAATGGTTAAATTTGAATTTACTGACCCTTAATGCAGCAAAAACTAATTATATCTGTTTCAGTATATCTAAACGCACGCAACCCTCGGAAGATTTCAATATAAGGATTCATACGTGTAACAACATAAATAACTGCGCCTTTAATAATAACTGTCCATTTATAAATAAAGTAACATATACACAATATTTAGGTGTAATAATAGACCAGAAATTGTCATGGTATTCTCACATAGAACATGTATCTAACAGAATTGCTAAATTAAATTGGATATTTCGTACCTTAAGACATGTGGTGCCAAGAAAAGCGTCCACTGAACTTATGCAAAACAAATTATTAAACGATATATACACAGCTTTGGTACAATCCGTTTTGGGGTACTGTATATCTATATGGGGGGGTGCTTGCAAAACAAAATTTATCCACTTGGAACGTGCGCAACGTGGTTTAATTAAAAATATGTATTTTAAAAACAGAAGATATCCTACTACAAGTCTTTACAATGAAACACAGTTATTATCAGTACGAAAAATTTATGTACTGCACACAATATTAAAGAAACATAA